GTCGAGACTCGAGTTCTTGTGGGTTTAGGATCAGCTGGTTGAACCTGATTGCAACAATAATTGCAACTTGCAATACAGATAAATAACCCATGTTGATTCATCAAAAAGAATGCCAACTCTATAATCATGAATTGCTCAGGACGGATCAATTATGGTCTTGCCCAGAACAAAGGTAACAAGCGACAGTTCAATGAAGAATATCGTGTTTATTAAACCTCGATCAACTGTCCACCCAAAGATAGTAATCCCCCCGGGATTCGACTGCAAATACATCACTGCATAGACAGTGTAAAAATGATCAAACGTGTAAAATGTTCGCAGAATGGGAACATCAGAAGAGAATGCAAAACCAAAAAGGGTATGACTTGAGTCTCAACAAACCAACGAGTTCAAGAAATTAATTTGTATCAGGTTCATTTGTATACGAAAATATAATGTAAATGTAATATTGTCTAATCTGCCAGAAAACTAACATTGTAAGAGAATAGAGAGAGAACCTGGTATAAGATGTCAATAGAATCGAACCTGTCCCTGTAGTCATAACTCTATTATTGGTACGCTTTGTTTTCTCTATTTTTTTGGTGTTATTCACGATCTTGTTTCCTAAAACTCTTTCCAAATGAGGCAAAGGAACACATCTTTTATTTTCTAACAATAACATGTAGGTGAATCTTCCAGAAGAAGAAACCATTTCTTTTGAAAATAGCAAGCTCTATCAATTCCGAGCTGGAGGAATTCCTCGCTTACTCATATCAAGAAAGGGGAATCTTATTTAAAGTAGAAAAATATACATGTTGGATATTGTAAATGTGTACGCCTCTACGGATTTATACCTAGTAGAATATCAACATACAATTGATGCAAACAAGGTGAATTCCTTCCCTTCGTCAAATCTTTTGTCCTTCTAATATATTGTGGAATCAAAATTATATGGCAGATGAAGGGTAATCGTACTGAGCTATGATGAGAAATGCTGCACACTATACTTACAACAAACTCTCAATATTAAAAACCAGAA